AATATTATTCCATTTGCTTGCATATGCTTATGTGTTAGAAGGGTGTGATAAACCCGGGATCCATACTGAGAAAATTTTCCCTTTCACCATGAAGGAATTTTATGAAGGAAGGGTTTTCTCCCTGAAGAGGGATTGTGTTAGGAAATGGGACAGTCTCTTCCCTGTACACAAAGGATTTTGGTTTGCAGGTGCCTTTTCCAGCCTTCTGGATCTGTTGCCTTCTTCCTAAACAGAAAAATCCAGTTATTGTTAGAGATAGCATTATTCCTGTTTAGCAACCAGCCCTCTTCTATCTTTTTCTTTTGGACATAGCCTAACATGCAGAGAGGCAGTTACTACAATATTGAGTGACAGAGGCTCCTGGATCAGAAGATACTGACATTATTTGTGGTGATGGTGGGGGAAAAAAACGCAAAACATAACTTATGCAAACCTCTGCAGGTATTGATTAGCTTATTTTAAAAATAAAGGAAAGGGTTGCTGTTGGTATGCATTGGTGGAGAAAATCTGCCTCTACTGCAGGCAGGGAGCTGAGCTTTTATACTCATCATTTCTGCACCGTGCCCCTGTATTAGAGTCACAGAAAAGAGACCTATGATAATGAAAACGTACAAACCACTGTATTTTGTAAATAACAATCTGCAGACCCTAAGTGAATACAAGGATGTAATTCACTCTAGGATTTCTGCAGCTGTTAATAAATCACTCAAGCTGCACTTGGGCAGCTTATGACATCAGCAGATCCCCTCAAGTGAATTACAGCCATTAATTTACACAGAGAAGGCCATCTATCATTTATTATTGACCATCTGTTACTAGGAATATGTACATTTTTGATAAATTAATAAGATTTTGATAGAAAACATCTTTAATTTATTCCTATGTACATTCATTTGTGATGTGCAACTTTGGGTTTGCAATTATCAGTGAAAACTGACTTGTGACATCAGCCAGAGGTGATTACATGTTGATGCAACAGTATGCCTCACAGCAAGTTTAGCAAGGCACCGTGTCTAGTACTTAAGGCCACACTCCTGCACAGATGGAAGGGATTGATCCTCTCAAAGATGTCACAGGAAGATATTTACTCACTCAGCATACAAAGGAAACAAATTCTCTGTGTGCCTGTGCCAACAGAAAAGTGTCGTTTGCAATGTGAAACCTGTTACTCCTTTGCACACAGTTTCTTCCGAATAGTAAAAATAATGGCTACAGAGCATCTGCTTGCTGTAAACAGAAGATAAAACATTGTCATAAATGAAAGATCAAGTTCATTACATCTGATGATCTATTTTGGCTCCTTGTATTTCTTTCTGTTTCCTCATGCTTCTACCTCACTGGGTGATCTTGCTGGGCTCTTAGAATCGGCAGAACTGAGGGTAGGGATTTGGGCACAGCATTTCCAGTTTAAAATTCCAACATAAATTATAGCATAAGACATGGTGTGCTTTAAAACTTTCATGGCACAAAGGTGCCTTATAGCCTGGCAGGCCTGCTAAAGACCCAGAACATATACAACAACTCAGCTTTGTTATTGGCACATAGACACTCCTAGATGTCCATTTCAGAAACGCTTACACTGGGTCTATGTAAAAGTCCTGCAGAATAAAACTAAGCCAAAAATACCCCAAATGCCTGCGTGGCTGAGTAAAACTGTCAAGCAGGTGATGGACTTCTCAGTTGTGGTTATATGTTTGTAGTCCTCCAAATTACCCATTGCCACAGTATTTAAGTCAGATTTGTAAATAAAGTAAGAATGGACGTAGAGGCATACAGGGACAAAACACCATTTGCTCAGCTAGAGCTGTATCTTTTTCAGCTTAAGCTGGATTTGGCTTCATATCAATGGAAAGGTTTTGTTGCAGGGGTGGTTTTGAATAGAGAGGCTTAGGACTGAGGGCTGGATTCTGACCCTGCAGCTGTGGGCAAAAGTCTGGACCGATACAAAGCCCCAGAGATTGCAGTGCAGCAGGAGCTTCTACACGTAACTTGAGCCTAAAGTTCAAGTTTTGCTTCTTAAAAGATATGGTTTTTACAAAACCACTCATCACATAAATATTTTAATAACTACAAATTTTCAGTAAAGACTGGATGACCAAAAACGTTTGCGATATTAGGACTGTACTGTCATAGCATATATGGGATGTTGAAAATGTAAAAGCTACTATTCCCAAAGTGGGAACATCTACAAAATCAGCAAAAAGGAAATTTTTGTAACTGTAACAATTTAGGAATACTACTTTGGGACTTAAAGACTACTGATTCTTGCCAACGCACACTGAAATAAACTCATCCACTGCCTGGCGCATGCTTGAAACCTTTCGGTCTTACAGCATCAGAAAAAAATTCTCCAGCAGCAGAAGTCACAAAATCACCATAGATATATTGAGTAACATGTGACTGAATGAAATTTTTACACCTTTAAAAAATAATGCCATCATCACCATCCTTTGATAACTAATTAGAAAACAATAAATGTTTATTATCTGGGACCTTTCATGTTCTGGTGGAGGGTTAAGCCTGATATGGCAGTATTAATTTAGGAAGTGAAACCAATGTTGAAACTATCTATGGGTTTTTCACAATACAAAGTATAATAAATTTCTGAAATTACATTTAGTAGTCACCATGTATCTACTGGTTTCCAGAAAAAACATGGGCACTCAAAATTGTTTAATGTAGTAAATTTACTCCTGAAGCATTCTGTCATGATTGGACAGTGGTTTGATCATCCAACTTTCTTATTTGCCTTTGCAAATATTTTTAACAGTATTTTGTTTTATTGAATGAAAGACCTACAATGGGAAAATGCTAGAATGTAGAAGAAGTAATGAACCCAACTGTAATCAAACTGGGAACAGTGCTTATTTTTTCTTTAACTTAGAACTGTCACCAGAATAGCAGAGAAAATAAGTTTTAGATGAATGTATTCTGAAAAACAGTAACATCCTTTCAGACATAACCAGGGCTTTGTCACCAGAGCACCTGCTGGAGTCTATGGTGGAGATGTCAAGAGTTTTTTGTGTGCATTGCTTCAACCACATTAAGGACTCACCACCCCTTGTTGGAGCTATGGAGAACTCTTGTTGCCATTAGGACTGAAGCCACCATCTTCCAGTCTGGCAACATCTAAACTTCTGAGATGGCTGTAGCCATTCCCATAAATATACAGAGCAACCTGGTACATCTATAAAACAATATACAAATGCTGTTACTAATGTTATCACAGTGTCACTGCTTGCAATTATATTAATAATTATATTAAGTATTAATAGTCCATTCTGGTTTGAAGTAAATCTTTCAGAGGTTTACAATTTAACTGTAAAAGTCTGTGTTAATCTGGTATAGCAACTGGGCGTGCAAAATCTTAGCTGCAGAGGCAATTTCTTGTTACCAAATTGTAGTAAAATCAATTTAGCTAGCAATTTGGTTTGTTGGGACACATGCCATTTCCAGATATTGTTTCAGTTGTATAATTAAAGCAAAATTAAACCCAGTTCCATGCGAAATTGTATTTTATTAAAAAACTTCAGCATCCTACTATGAATAAAACTGAGGAGTTGGTATTCCTGGTTCGTGGCTGCTGAGAGGAAAGGTGTTACGTGGCAAATCATGGGAAGTCTTTCCCTCTTCCACAAACGTTTATGGTTACCTTGAACGCAAATAACCTACAAGCTTCTAGTAAACTTATAAAAATAAAACTTGTATTTGAGAACAGTCCAGACCGTAACCAGCATGCCATATGACAAGAAACGTAAAGGGCAACACAAAATACTAAGTACATAATACAACTTCTGAACTTTGAGCAGAAAAACGTTTGCTTTCGAGTTTTCCAACGTAGAAAGGTTCGGCAGCTACCGCGTTAGCAAGTTTTTTTCCACAAACGCACGTAACTCGGCCCGTTTCTGCTGGCGAGCGATAGGTACCACCACCCCCACCGCCGCCCCCCACCATCTCTGCCGCGTCCCGCAGCAGCGGAGCCGCCTTTTGTTTCGCGGGGGCTCTGCTGAGGCGGTCGGCCCACAGAGCTGCGGCCCGAACGGCACGCCGCCTCCGGGGCCGAGCGCCCACGC